TTTATCACCCGATTCTATATGTAATAGTTGGCATCTGCTAAGCCCAAACTCCCAGTCCATCCCTCCCCCCCCCCCCCCCCCCCCCCGCCACCCCAAGAGCCTGATGTCCACCAGCAGAGACACTCCAGCCCGTAGGCCAGTCTCTGTCCCCACCTGCTCCCCCTGCAGGGCCCGGGTCCCTGAGAAGACGGCCCGTGAGCCTGGATCATGTAGGTGAGGGATTGTGACTGTCCCCTTGGTCCCATGGAACACCCACCCCCACCTCAGCTGGAAGCGGCCCAGGTGGGGGCCCTCCAGAGGCGGGGGCCTCAGTTACCCACGGGCCAGGGTGGTTGTACCAACAGCAAAGTCATGCTCTGTGCCTCCCCCAAGCCCAGCGCTTCCCAAGGCAGGAGAGGGGAGTGTGCCTGCCACCCCCAGCGGGTGCAAGGCTCAGGGACGCTGTGATGGTGATGGACCCCCCTGACAACCTGACCCATGCCCACGTGGGCAGGAGGGCACAGCCAAGAAGCTTGTGGACTCGCGCGGCATTCTTTAGTTCTCACACCCCTATCAGGTGGGGTCCACCGCTGCTCTGCAAGCAAGGAGGATGCCCAGAGCCTCAGGCACTGGCCCAGCAGGCCTCCTCCCCAACCTGTGACCGGCGGTGCGGACCCCTGAGCTGCCGGGCCCGGGGTGAGGGGCGTCCTCACCAGTTGAGGTTCTGGAAGCGCTTCTGGTAGTTCTGCGCTCGGCACACCCGGCCCGTGTCTCGGTCCTTGAGCTGGATGCCGAAGAAGCCCAGCATGAGCTCATAGGCCTGGACCAACCGCTTCCTGACCTCCGTGGAGCTTTTAAACGCCTGGAAAACGCCCCCCGAGAGCAGCAGGGAGCTCAGGGTGGCGCCAATGCAGTTGTGGGGCCGCACGCCGCCCTCGGTCCCCGATTCAACCTGGGGCTTCGGCTCAGACCCTTAGGGTGAAGTGCCAGGGTGCAGAAGCCCAGAGATGCTCTCTTCACTCTGAGCTGCCGCAAGGTCTCTCCGAGGCCCGAGGTGCTGCTGTAGCCCCAGGAGGAACTCCCTGACCTGAGAGGGGACCTAAGGGACTCCAGAGCTGGGCACGGGGCAGCAAGCACCCACCCTGTCTCCTCGGTGCACCTGCTTGGCCTCTCTCACGGGCTCCTTGGCTCCTGGGGCCCCCTCCCGACCATCCAGGGCATCCCCAATCCAGCCCAAACCAGGGCTGACCAAGGCAGAGCCCAGGCACTCTGACTCTGCTCGTGGCCCCTGCCCTGGACCCCTGCATGTGAGCGATCCTCACCGTCGGATTTCTCTGGAAGCCTGCAAGGAGCACTGAGGGCAGAGGCAAGGACCACTTGGGAGGGAAGATAATTACACGGCTGGGGGGAGGGGCTCCTCTAGCTCCTGTACCCCCAGCAGCTCCTGAAGGGGCATGAGAACCCCTGTGGCCAGCCAGGCCCCTCCCCTGGCCTTTAGAGCTCACCTCGACCTCTTGGAGCGTGAGGGGCTTGGCGTGACAGTTCACTCCTGGCTCCCGCAGGGGAAACAGCCTGTGAAGGAAGAGATGGCACAGGCCCCGTCAGTGGCAGACGTGGGCCACCAGCCACTTGGCACACGTTGGCTGGGCAGCCTGGGGCGGCTCTCCGCTTGCCTCCGGGGGCTGGCTGGACCACACGTGCCACAGGTTCTCACCAGTCAGTAAAGCCAAGGGGCAAGGGTGGGAGAGCTCCAGGGAGGGTGCCCAGGATGAGAGCCCAGGACAGACCCACCTACAGAAGTCCCAGCTCGCCCACTAAGCAGCAAGGGCACCTGCCAGCCGCCCCCCGGGAAGCCCTCCATTCCTTTTCATTTTCACATTCTTCTGTTCCTCCCATCATTAATGCTGTGGAATTATTCCCCGGGGAACCCTGTGTCCCGGGTTGGCCCCCTGCAAGCTGTCCTTAAAGGACACTGCGTTTGTGGGGCAGCATCCGGGGGCACCTCAAGGCACCGTTAGAACCCGCCCCCCGTGGCACAGGGGCTCCGCGGACAGGCTCGGGACAGGCTCATGGGGCCTCCAGCCCGCTGGTTTGCTGCTCTTCCTGTCCCCAAGAGCGGTGTCGGTTCCCAGTGGCAGAGGCTGTTTACAGCTGGAGAACCCAGGAGAACCCAGACTGCAGGACCCGGTCTCCCCTTAGCAGGCCCCGCCAGCAGTGCCGGGCACTGGGCCCTGAGGGCAGTGCGCTGTGCCTGGGAGAGGCGGAGCCAGGCTCCAGCCTGGGGGGCGCCTCAAGCCTCCCCTCCGGAGCCCCGCCCAGCAAGCTCGGCCCCGCCCAGCCTACTCACCACTGGATGTAGGAGTGATTATCCTCCAGGAGGCCGTACTCTTCCTTCCAGTTCTGAAGAATGTCTTCAATGAAACAGCCTGGGAGCCCCACGGGGACAAGTCAGCCAGGGCTCCCGAAAGCCCCTTCCCCCACTGCCCTCCGCTCCTTTCGTGAGGACCTCGGGGCCTGGCAGCTTCAGTCTGTGCACATCACGTGTGATTTTAACCCCACTTTGGCCGACTGCCACTCTGCCACCTGGAAAGCGGACCCTTATTGCTGATGGAGGGCAGACCTGAGTGGGCAGGCCCCATCCGGGAAGGACAAGTGGTCCCAAACCTGCGCCTGTCTTTGCAGCAGGGGGGGCCTCGCCATACCCCACAAAGCACAGGCTGCTGGCCAGAATTCTGCCCTCAAACGGAACCTGCAGCCAAGCCCCACCCTGCAGCCTGGTCTCCCACAGGGCAGCCCGTTTCTGCAAAGGGCCAGAAGGGGAACAGCTGAGGCCACCGGCCTGTGCTGTGGCAGGAAAGCAGCCACAGACAACGCGTAAGTGCAAAAGCATGGGTGGGTTCCAAGGAAACCTCACTATGGACACTGAAATCTGAATCTCATATGATTTTCACACGTCACAAAATGTTATATCTTTTTTTTTTTTTTTTTTTTTTTTTTTTGGGCGATACGTGGGCCTCTCACTGCTGTGGCCTCTCCCGTTGCGGAGCACAGGCTCCGGACGCGCAGGCTCAGCAGCCATGGCTCACGGGCCCAGCCGCTCC